CAGAAAGGAAGTCAATTAAAGACCCTATCTTCAAAAATTACATTAGACATGGGAAGAAAAAGCTTGACATTTAGGTTAACTAAACGCCTGCCAAGCGATACGGTGTCTATACGACAGTTAGCTTAGCTTAGCATAATGAATGAAAACAGAGGAAAACTGCTAGCATGGCTCTAAAAAACCTTTTAAAGTTCATTTTTACACATTTTGCTGTTGTCCTTTTTACAGAATCATGAAAGCTATTTCCAACTGTTTCCACTCTTTCTGCTGAGTGAAGCTAAATACCTCAGTGTTGACGTTCAGTGATATTGTCGCCAAGTAAGTGAATAAGCACATTTCCAAATTATTCCTCTAAACAAACAGACAGCATGATTTAAAGGTCCCATGTCATGGCCATTTCTACTGATCATAATTCCATTGTTGAGGTCTACTAGAATAGATTTATATTGTTCAATGTTCCAAACTCACATTGGTGTCTCATACAGCATCTCTGTATAGTATATGTATTCACTCTCTGTCCTAAACGGCTTGTTGGAGCTCCTGCCCCCCCCCCCCTCGCTATGAGCCCAGTGGCCGTCTGCGAGACACAGCGAAACCCAGCCCGAACACACACACACCCACCCGCAGCCTCGCCGCGTCCCGCCGTCTCAGGGAGGAGAAATCGGCGGAGCTGCAGCTGAGAAAAGATTGAGTGTGTGCTTGAGGAAGTCCGTGGATTGGTCAATTTGGACCAAACCACAGACTTAACGTAACGGCTCCGCGGACATAACGTACCGGTTCCACGGATTGGTCCATTTGGACCAATGGGTATGGACACGTCACTGTACCCAGGAAGAAAAAGAGAAATCTCCAACGAGGCGTTCTGGGGCAGCATAGACAGGTCTTTTCTGTGTTAGAGTTTTACTCGCTACAGGGTGCACTTTGAGAGTTTGTGACTCTGCAGAACACAGAAGGGGACGGGTAATAACCAGAAAAGCATGACATGGGACCTTTAATGTCCGTCATGATATCAGGTTTTCGTTACACTATTATCACAGCCTGAATAAGCATGATCTTATTGTAATAACTGTACGAGACTTGAAAGATAATCAGTCGAATGTGTCATTAACTATGTGCAGATTAAAGAACTTATCATCAAAAATGATTTAGACTTTTTTAAAGGAAAAGCCTGGAGGTGAAGGTGGAGAGATTCTATAAAAATATAGCTATTATTATTATCAATACCAGAATATCTTTATACAACACTGTATATGTTTCAAACGATCATACCTGTAGAGAACCGCCTTATTGACACCAAAGGCACCGACAATGAGATCTGAGGAAGTCAATTAAAAGAGTTAGGAAACATAATACAAATGTAATGTTGGCGGTGCATAATGGGAGAAGTCTTCCTCACCTGGGTATCCGTTCATGTCCAGGTCTTTATTTCCTCGGAGGGAGAACCCGAAGCTGGCAGGAACCGATCC